GCCTCCGGCGGCCAGTCTACGGTCTCCGCCAGGCACCGCGTGAGTGGCACGACACACTGAGGACTACGCTTGCGGCTCTTGGGTTTGCTCCCTCTACTGCCGACCCGTCGCTGTTTCTACGCACCGACACTTCTCTGCCGCCGTTCTACATCCTCGTGTACGTCGACGACTTGGTCTTTGCCACTGGTGACACTGCTGGACTCGCCTTCGTGAAGTCCGAGCTGCAGAAGAGACACACGTGCACAGACCTGGGTGAACTGCGCAGCTACCTTGGCTTGCAGATCACCCGGGACAGAGCACGCCGCACCATCCCCCTCACTCAGTCACACATGGTGTAGCAGGTCCTTCAGCGCTTCGGCTTCACGTACTCCTCGCCTCAGGCCACTCCTCTGCCTACTCGCCACTCGCTCTCAGCTCTGCCTTCGGATGAGTCCGTAGAGTCGAGTGGCTCGTACCCAGAGCTTGTTGGCTGCCTCATGTATCTGATGACCTGCACACGACCTGACCTTGCATACCCTCTTAGCATTCTCGCACGCTATGTTGCTCCTGGGAGACACCGACCAGATCACATGGCTGCAGCGAAGAGGGTGTTGCGCTACTTGTGCAGTACGTCGGGCATGGGGCTAGTGCTTGGAGGGCGGAGTCCAGTGGTCCTCACTGGTCACGCAGACGCTTCTTGGGCTGACGACCAGGCTACGCAGGGGTCGTCACAGGGTTACACCTTCAGCCTTGGTTCCGGCTCGGTTTCGTGGCGGGCTACTCGCTCGTCTTCTGTTCTCGGCTCCAGTTGTGAGGCTGGGATCTACGCAGGGGCCATGGCTGCTCAGGAGCTTCGCTGGCTCACCTACCTGCTGAGCGACCTTGGAGAGCCGCCTCGTTCTCCTCCAGTCCTTTACGTAGACAACAAGGCCATGCTGGCCTTGTGTCGAGAGCAGAGACTGGAGCACATAACAAAGCACATTGCTCTCCGCTACTTCCTTGCTCGTGAGCTACAGCAGCGTGGTCAGTTGCGGCTTGCGTACGTGGCCTCTGAGGCCAACACTGCTGATGTCTTCACCAAGGCACTTGCGCCTTGTGATCATCAGCGCTTCTGCACCCAACTGGGTCTTGTACCTGTCTTGCCTCACTTGCTCACCCCTTGACCTTGTTTGTACTGTTACATATATATATACCTGCTCTTGCTTGTCTAGCCTTATATATATATGTACCCCTGCATGTGAGCTGGCCTTGTGGCCTTCAACTTGTGCTCGGAATGTGTGGTGACTTTGTGATCCACCCTGAGCTTGCTTTGCTTTGCTTTACTTGACTGGTCTTGTGACCCCTAGTTCTCCTCCACTTCGCCTATGGGGGTGTGTCAAACATTATATATGTTGTGCTTGTTTAGGCTACAGTGGGTTAGCCTATAGGGGGTACACAATTCTAGTGTTAGGTACTTGTACTGATTTCACTGTTAGTTCAATCATTCCTGTTCGTTCATTTCAACAGGGTAGACGTCTCTCCGCGACACAGCACCGCCGCTCGTAGTGCTCTCTCGTAAGCACGCACGGCCACGAGAGAGGCTCTCTCTGAGCTTGCTCGCGACGTTGACGCAGGAGCAGCTTGACCGTCTGGTGCGCCAAGTTTAAGAATCGGCGCTCAAAATTGCGACGCTCACGGTGGAACGTGACTCCGCGCGTCAGCAATCCACGGTGAACACTCCAGCGCCACCATACACACCGACAAATGCATATGCACAATCGGACGAGCCGATCGTCATTTCGTCTGGCACACCAACACAACACGACAGCGTGGGACAGCGCTCAGGTGCAGCCAGTGATGGCGCCGCCCAGCTGATGCCTGGCATGGGGGGAAACAGGGTCGCACCAAGCCCGTGGGAGCCTCGTGAAGCCCGTCGGCACGTGCAGTTCGCGGCGACAAGTGGCGAATAGGCCATTATGATACCAATGCCACTCAAGCCGCAACGCCCGCCCTGTTTTGACCTGAGCCAACGTGGAGGTCCGACGGTTCAATTGTGGGTATTCACGATGAACGTCTTCTTCGACACGAATTACGTCAAGTCGGACGCAGCGAATATTCGATATGCCGTCTCGCTGCTGAGGGGCCCCGCCATGGACTGGTGGCGAGTCATCGTGACGTCGCCACGTGCCTACGAGCCACCGTCGCAAGAGGAAGGGCCCACGGGTCCAGCTGTCACTTGGAGTTCATTCTACAAAACTGCCCAATACAGCACGTGGGATGCGTGGTGCGCAGGGCTTTGGGCGCGCTTCGAGCCGATCGCGGCTTCTATTTCGGCGCGTCAGAGATTGCGTACTTGGCGGCAACTCGGGTCGGTCCAAGACTACACGAGTGGTTTTCTCGCATTATGCGAGCACGTCGGCTACATGCACGAGGCGGAGCAGGTGGACCGTGTTAAGATAGTGTGTAGAGTTAGGATCAAGAGCCATAACTAGGAGAGTCCTAGCTAGGCAAGAAACAATTTAGGCAAAAGAGAGAGGGTTTTCACTAGCAGCAATGAGGATACATATAGCAAACCCTAGATGGGTTGTACTCGCTATAGAGCACCCCACTACAGGCTAGAGAATAACATTCTGACACACCCCCATAGCCAAAGTGGGGTGTAATCAGTACAATGAGCAAGCAGGTATAGAGCAGGAGTTCACAAAGGTAAGCAAAGCTAGAGCTAATCACAGCGGGCAAGTGAGGAGGAGGAGGAGCTGTGGAGGTAGAGAAGATGGGAGGCAACGACTGAAGCTGCAGAGGCACGGGCACAGGAGCGGCTGACTCAGAGGCTACCGAAGCAAGGGCGGCGGACTACTGGAGTAACTGGCTCGGCGGCTATAGAAGAGCGGCAGGAGCAATGGACCCACTGGCGACTGGTGCAGCAGGCTCACTTGCTACCAAAGCAAGGGCGACGGACTACAGGCGCTGCAAGCGACACGACAGGTACCTCCACACAACCTCCTCCAGCTACCCCACACCCTCGACACACACCCACTGCTCAAACCCTAGCTCCACTCCCACGCACCCCCCTAAAACCCTAAACCCCAGTCTCCCACTCATCCACCCCCCTCAGCGACAGCTGCAGCAGTGGGAGACAAAGGAGGAGGAGGAGAAGGGCACGGCGCGCACAACGGACACCCCCACAACCACCACCCCCACACTCCTCACCCCCAAACCCTAAAACGGGTGGGATAGGAGCAGGAGCGCGGGGGACGGAGAGGGGGGGGAAGGCGCGCGCCTCTAGGGCGCCAGAACGGACAGGTGGGGCGAGGGAAGGGGCGTGGCGCGCGCTGCTCCCCTGGGCGCCGCGACGGACGGGCGAGGGGGACGCGCGCGCGGCTCCTCAGGGCGCCGCGACGGCCTGGCGGGGCGCGCGCGGCCTCCCGAGGGCGCCGCGACGAGCTGACGGGGCGCGCGCGGCCTCCTCAGGACGTCGCGACGACCACGCAGGGCTCCCGCTGGCTCCCTAGTGCGTCGCGACCGGCGGGCGGGGCGCTCGCGGGCTCCCGAGGGCGTCGCGACGGACGGACAGGGGGCTCGCGGGCTCCCCAGCGCGCCGCGACGGGCAGGGTGGGGGGCCGCGCGTGCTCCTCAGGGCTCCGCGACGGACGGGCGGGGCGCGCGCTGGCTCCCCCACAGCAGTAAACCGCCGCGCGCCTCGGGGCGCACGGCGGGCAGAAAACCGCCGCGCGCCCCGAGCGCGCGGCGGGATGAAAAATAAGAGGCCGTGCACCATGGGGCATGCGACACAGCGTAGGGCAGCGGAAGCAGTAGGAGGGCCCACAGGCCAGGAGCGTATGTGCTCTGATTCCATGTTAAGATAGTGTGTAGAGTTAGGATCAGGAGCCATAGCTAGGAGAGTCCTAGCTAGGCAAGAAACAGTTTAGGCAAAAGAGAGAGTGTTTTCACTAGCAGCAATGAGGATACACATAGCAAACCATAGATGGGATGTACTCGCTATAGAGCACCCCACTACAGGCTAGAGAATAACATTCTGACAGACCGTTACGTCGGAGGGCTGAAGCCGGACATCTCGCACGAGATCATGCTACGCGGGCTCTCGAACTTCAACAAGATTCTCGCGCTCGCCAAGAAAATCGACATTTTGCGCCGTTCGAGACCAGGGTCCTACTACGGACATCGTCCTCGGGGATCGAACGAGCACGCCATCGTACACGCCGTTGCGACGAACGCAGCTGTCGCACCGTTTAAGGGGCGCTGCTTTGCTTGCAATAGGCCGGGCCATCGCAAGAGTGAATGCCCAAAGGAGCTGAGGCGCCGCGGAGCAGAGCAAGGGACGGAGTCTCCAAGGCAGGGAAAAGCCAGCAGTCAGTAGGAATCGGGCCAACTACTGACGGGACTGCCTGCTCGCCCAGCCCCACCGACCCTCACCGAGTCACAGTACCGATTCATGCTATCGATCGGGCTTGGACGAATAAGGAGGGTACAATGACGGATTGCCCAGTACTAATCCACGGGAAAATACAGGGGGCAGCAGTGAAGATTTTTATCGACGGAGGAGCAAGTCATAGTTTAGTTAATACTGCAACCGCACGCTGATTGCAACTGACACTTAGCCGTTGTTTACCGAGATAGATGCACTCTTAGTTGACGGCACGCCACTGGCCATACGGGAAAAGGTGGAGATATTCAAAGTCCGCTGCGGGGGAAATTTCGGATTTACACAAGAAATGCTCGCGCTGGCACTCGATGGACACGACATTTTACTGGGACGTGATTGGCTTCGACGGTATAACCCGCGAATTGAATGGACGACGGGCAGCTGCACTGTGCGAAGTAGCGGTAACTGGGTTGAGGCAATCGCCCGAGTCTTCAACGGTACACGTCAACTGAGAAGAAGTGCACGAGAATGAAATGACTATGAACGAAGTGAGTACAAATAGGAAACCCTAATTGGGTTGTACCCCCTATGGGACCCCACTATAGCCTACACAAATAAGCAAGAGCAAGAGTATATATAGGTGAAGGTACAAGCAAGGTCAAGAAGTGAGTAAGTGAGGCAAGACAGGCACAAGACCCAGCTGCGTGCAACAACGCTGATGATCACAAGGCGCAAGTGCCTTGGTGAAGACATCAGCAGTGTTGGCCTCAGAGGCCACGTACGCAAGTCGCAACTGTCCACGCTGCTGTAGCTCCCGAGCAAGAAAGTAGCGGAGAGCAATGTGCTTTGTCCTGTGCTCCAGTCGCTGCTCTCGACACAAGGCCAGCATGGCCTTGTTGTCTACATACAGGACTGGAGGAGAACGAGGCGGCTCTCCAAGGTCGGTCAGGAGGTAGGTGAGCCAGCGAAGCTCCTGAGCAGCCATAGCCCCGGCGTAGATCTCAGCCTCACAACTGGAGCCGAGAACAGAAGACGAGCGAGTAGCCCGCCACGAAACAGAGCCGGAACCAAGGCCGAAGGTGTAACCCTGTGACGACCGATGCGTAGCCTGGTCGTCAGCCCAAGAAGCGTCCGCATGCCCAGTGAGGACCACTGGACTGCGCCCTCCAAGCACTAGTCCCATGCCTGACGTACTGCACAAGTAGCGCAACACCCTCTTCGCTGCAACCATGTGCTCTGGTCGGTGTCTCCCAGGAGCAACATAGCGTGCGAGAATGCTAAGAGGGTATGCAAGGTCAGGTCGAGTGCAAGTCATCAAGTACATGAGGCAGCCAACAAGCTCTGCATACGGGCCACTCGACTCTACGGACTCATCCGAAGGCAGAGCTGAGAGCGAGTGGCGAGTAGGCAGAGGAGTGGCCTGAGGCGAGGAGTACGTGAAGCCGAAGCGCTGAAGGACCTGCTGCACCATGTGTGACTGAGTCAGGGTAACGGTGCGGCGTGCTCTGTCCCGGGTGATCTGCAAGCCAAGGTAGCTGCGCAGTTCACCCACGTCTGTGCACGTGTGTCTCTTCTGCAGCTCAGACTTCACGTAGGCGAGTCCAGCAGTGTCAGCTGTGGCGAAGACCAAGTCGTCGACGTACACGAGGATGTAGAACTGCGGCAGAGAGGTGTCGGTGCGCAGAAACAGCGACGGGTCGGCAGTAGAAGGAGCAAACCCAAGTGCCGCAAGTGTAGTCCTCAGTGTGTCGTGCCACTCACGTGGCGCCTGGCGGAGACCGTAGACTGGACGCCGGAGACTCCACTGGGTACCAGGAGGGAAAGACCCAGTGAAGCCAGGTGGGCGACGCAGCCAGATCTCCTCGTGCAGGCTGCCCTGCAAGAAAGCAGTGCTGAATTCGAGAGAGTGCAGCTCGTAGTCACGGTGAGTAGCAACGTGCAGCAGCACCCGAAGAGTGGTCATCTTCGGGGTGGGGGAGAAGGTCTGAAAGTAGTCAACTCCCTGCCGCTGACTGAAGCCACGAGCCACGTAACGCGCCTTGAAGACAGGCGGAGAACCCGGCGGCCGCTTCACCCTGAAAATCCACATGCCACTGACGATGTTCGCCCCAGGAGGGGGAACAGCATCAACGTAGGTGCCTGTGGACTTCCAGGAAGCCATCTCTGCATCCATAGCTGCCTGCCACTGAGAGGAGTAGGGACCCTCTATCGCCTCCGCGTAAGAGCGCGGAGTCGGGATGTCTAGTGCATCCGGGTCTCCCTCAGGGGCGAGCAGAACAGACGCGAGATGAGGTGAAGCGGCGGCCAGACACTGGAACTCCTCCTGCCTGTCCTCAAGGACGTCCGTGCCTAGGGCACACTCACCCCCGACGGACGGAGGACAGGCAGACTTAGACTCAGCGACAAGACTAGCAGCGTAGTCTAGACGACAGCGCGCAGCAAAGTCGACAAGCTCAGTGACAAGAGCAGACGCAGCAGAAGACTCGAAGGACGGGTCAGTGACAGCAGTAGCAAGGAGACGCGTGACAGTGGGACTGGCAGCACGAAGAGAGTCCGACTCCGGGTCGGCAAGAGCAGGAAGAGAGGACTTAGGAGGAGAAGGCAAAGGGGCACGCAGAGGAGCAGTGGACGGACGCAGAGACATCCGGTGCGTGCCAGGGACAGGAGGAGGACGCTGACGCGAACTGCGACCACTAGTGCGTGCAGGACGAACAGGCGACGCAGGTCGAGACGCAGGCTCACGACGCTCAGTAAGTCCTCCAGTCGGACCAGCGTAGGGAGAAGGAGCAGGCAAAGGGGAGGCAGGCTGTAGCTGTGACTGGGACTGGACAGGCTGTGGACCCTCGAAGGAAGGCGGAGGAGGACCAGGAGAAGGTGTAAGACCAAGAACCTGCTGCAGGAGCGGAACGAAGTACGGTCGGGGCCGCGTGGCGACGCCAGAAACAGCAGGGATAGCACCAGTACCCCCAGCAGGAGTACCCGCTCCAGCAGCACCTCCAGCAGCACCTCCAGCAGCACCTCCAGCAGCACCAGGAGCACTGCCAGTCGGACCGCCAACAATAGTCTCAGCGCCAACACCCTCAGCAGCACCAGCTCCAGGAGAACCCTCAGGCCCAGCAGCTCCAGCACCCACAGCACGAGCACCTCCGGGACGCGCGGCAGCAGCACCCTCTGCAGCCGAAGAACCTCTAGCACCAGCAGCACGCCTCCAGCGCCGGGCAAACCACTCACGCAGCTCCTGTGGGGAGAGTGGCTCTCGGCGAGACGAAGCACCTCCAGGCGGAGAACCTCCAGGCGAAGAACCTCCAGGTGCAGCACCCTCAGGCAAAGCACCTCCAGGCAGAGCACCGCCACGCTCATCACCCCCAGGCTCAGCACCCCCAGACTCAGCACCCCCAGGCTCAGCACCCCCAGACTCAGTTCCCCTAGGCTCAGCACCCCCAGGCCCAGCACCCCCAGGCTCAGCACCCCCAGACGCCGCACCCCCAGGCTCAGCACCCCCAGGCTCAGCTCCCGCAGCAGCACCAGAGTCACTAGTGACCTCGACAGGCTCGACCGCGTCTACCTGGGACACACCTGAAGGGGCAGGACCCTGAGGGGGGAGGGGGTCTACCGGGGGGGGACCTGGTACCAAGAAGAGCGGGGGCGGGGGAAGGGAAGGAGTGCGGTAGGGGAAGAGGCGGTAGTAGGGTACCGACTCATCGAACGTGACGTCCTGGGAGGACAGAACACGCCGAGAGGTGGGGTGGTAGAACTGCCACCCAAGCGCGTCGGGGGGGAATCCCAGGAAGACGCAGGGAGCAGCGCGAGGGGACAGCTTGTCCGCAGACAAGTCGCGGACAAACGCCCGAGATCCCCAGACCCGGAACGCCGACGCATCGCCAACCTTCCCCGTCCACAGCAGGGCTGGGGAGGTCTCCGGCTTGGAGACCCTGGGGTGGAGGTTGATCTGATGCACCGCGTACCTGACCGCAAACGGCCACAGAAAATGGGGGGCAGCCGCATGCATCATAGACGTACGAGCGACGTCCATGACCATGCCAATGCGGCGCTCAGCAATCCCATTTTTCTGCGGTGAGTCCGGAAGCGTGAAGGTCTGGCGGATGCCTCGCGCACAACAGAAGGCACGCAGAAGGCCAGAGGAGAACTCTCCGCCTCGGTCCAAGTGCAGACGCAGCACAGGAAAGTCCGAGCCAAAGCTCTGCCTGAGCCGGAGACGAGCCTCGCGGATCCAGTCGATCAGCAACTCACTGACATCACCCTTGCTGCGCAAGGGGAAGACTGTGGTGTAACGCGAGTAGTCGTCAACCACCAACAGGAAGTAGCGCTCGTGACCGAGTCCACGGACGCGGGCAGGGCCCCACACGTCCATGTGAAGTGTCTGCAACGGAGCCTCTGTCGGAGGAAACTGGGAGGAGTGAGGGGCAGCACGCTGGCGCCCCTCGACACAGGGGACACAGGCAGGGCCAGGGCCCCGAGGAAGGGGAGGGAGGGACCGGGGGAGACCAGAAACAAGAAGACGGGAGGCCATGCCTCTGAGCCGAAGCAGAGAGGGGTGGCCAAGGTGGTGGTGCCAGAGGAGAGTCTCGTGAGACAGACGGCGGCACGAACAGGGGGCAGACTCAGTACCAGACCTGGACGCTGCAGCAAACACTTGACTAGACGAAGGGACTCTACCAGACTCAGCATCGGGAGGAGAAGCAGTGGTCAGTGTGTACAGGCTCGGCCCTGGCTGACGTGTAAACGTAGCCAGGTGGCGACCTGTGCTAGCCTCTGTGCAGTGTGTCACCCGCTGACGAGTAGGAGTGAACTGGTGGACACCCACATCCTGTAGGTCAGCACCACTCACTTGGTTCGTAGAGAACGAGGGGAGGTAAAGACCAGTCAGGGTGCCAGAGGGAGCCGCCGAACACGGGAGGACTGTGGAGAAACGAGACAGGACAGGACCCCCAGAGGGGTCAGCCAGGGACACCGCAACAGGCCGACTAAGCGGCGTGAGAGTGGTGCGGTCCCAAAAGAAGGAGCGAGACGCCCCAGAGTCAAGGGTGAAGGTGTGAGAGGCAGAAGCCGACACAGTACCTGAGAGGGCAGACTCACTAGCACCTGAGAGCACAGACGCACTGGCACCTAGAGCAGCAGCCTCACTGGCACCTGACACTGCAGTACCAATGCCCGGGTCGGGCGGGAAACACCGGTAACAGTCACCATCATCGCTAACAGTCACAGCATACATGGCAGCAAGGATAGCATCAAAGTCAAGATCAAACACAGCTACACCAGCCCTAGACAGCTCTCCCCAGCGGGGGATCTCAGAGGCCTCCGGAAACTGCTGGCGCCAAGCGTCGGTCAAGCGGGCAAAGCAGCGGCGAGCGTTGTGGGTGCCCCCACACTGCTCACCCGCGCGGTCGCCGGTGCGAAGGACGTAGGTGCAGGGACCGAACGCCCCACCACGCTGACGCTGCGAGTACCACTCACGGAGCTGCTGAGGGGCGGGGACGTCGCGAGAGCGCTGCTGCTGCTGCTGATTTTGCTGCAGCTGCTGCTGCTGCTGCTGCTGCTGCTGGCGCTGACCACCTCCAGTGCTGCTCCTCTGGGACGAGCCACTCCGACCACCTCCACCACCGCCACCCCCGCCTCCGCCGCCACCGCCGCCACCGCCACCCTCGCCCTCGCCGCTCCCACTGCCTCCTCCGCCACCACCTCCGCCGCCACCTCCGCCTCCACCGCCGCCACCAGTACCTCCACCCCCACCTCCACCCCCACCGCCACCCCCACTCCCCTTGCCGCCCCCACCTCCTCCGCCACCGCCCCCGCTAGCTCCACCCGCTCCCTTGCCCCCCTTGCTCCTGCCAGAGCGGCGCCTACCGCTGGGGGCAGACGCTGCACCGACCGACTCTTAACCAACGAGGTCGGCCGCAGCAGCAGAGGCAACAGAGGGGAGCAGGGGGGAAGGAGAACACCCCTCAAAGATAGGGGTGCGCGGGTCACCACGAGAGGCCCCTGTAGCAACTATGCTCTTCTCGGCCGCTAGCAGGGACTTCTCGAGGAGGTCGATAGTGAGGGTGGTGGGACAGACAGAGAGAAACTGGTCCCTAACAGCACGAAGGGACTCTTGGAGACGGGTGACTAGAAAGTAGAGGGTGATGTACATGGGAGGGGGGTTTTCGGCGAGGAAGGCAGCAGGAAGCGCAGCTCGGTAGCGAGTGTCGCTAGCGCAAAGGTGGGTAAAGAGGTCAGTGACTGTGGGAAAGGCAGCAAGGTCAGGGAAGAGGTACGGTAGCGTGAGGCGGCTCAGTGTAGTAGTGGAAGGGGAGGAGTAGCGTGCAACTACAGCGTCGTACAAGGCCTGAGCGGTCTTGCACTGACTAAAGTGTGCACGCTCGGAGGAAGGGAGGTGGCGACGCACAGCAAGACGTGCAGCAGCATCGCGTGTGGCCCACTTGGAGCGAACAGTGGGGTCAGCATCAGCAGGAGGGGCAGGGACAGCGCTAGAGACAAAGTCAAAGAGAGAAACCTCATCGATCGCATCGCACAGAAAGTACAGCTGCAGGTCCTCAATCCAGACTGCAAAGTCAATGGCGCGACCCTCAGCGTCAAAAGCCAGGACACTGGGGGTGGCCATTGTAGCAGCTGACAATCTCGCCGGCCAGGAAGAGTCGGGAAGCACAGGGGCACAGCAACACGGCAGCACAGCAGCTGCACCGGCCCAGGAGCAGCAGCAGCCCCACAGGAGCAGGAGCTCGGCACCTCAGGTTGCTCGGGCGGCTCGGGCGGCTCGAGCGGCTGGGGCGGCGCGGGCGGCTCGGGCGGCTCGGGCGGCTCGGGCGGCTCGGGCGGCTCGGGCGGCTCGGGCGGGTCTGCTGCACGGGCGGCTCGGGCGGCTCTGCTGCACGGGCGTCCCGTTCGGCTCTGCTGCACGGGCGGCCCGTTCGGCTCGGGTGACGCGGGTGGCACGGGTGGCGCGGGCGTCGCGACGGGCGGCTCGCTGGCGGCTCGCGGGCGGCTGCACGGGCGGCTCACGGGCGGCTGCAGGCGGCTGCACGGGCGGCTCACGGGCGGCTGCGGGAGGCTGCACGGGCGGTTCCCGGGCGGCTGAGGGCGGCTGCACGGGCGGTTCACGGACGGCGGCCTGGGCGGTCGCGGGCGGCTCACGCTGGGCGGCTGCACGGGCGGCTGCACGGGCGGTTCGTCGGGCGGCGCACAGGCAGCTCACGGGCGGCTGCACGGGCGGCGCGGCAAGCTGCTGAGGGCGACGCACGGGCGGTGCACGGGCGGTGCGACGGGCGGCTCGCGGGCGTCGGGCGCTAGGGCGACGACGGGCGGCGCTCAGGCCCTAGGGCGGGCGGCCGTCAGGCTCTAGGGCGGGCCGCGCTCGAGCTCTAGGGCGGGCAGCGCGCGGGCGCTAGGGCGGGCGGCGCTCAGGCTCTAGGGCGGGCAGCGCGCGGGCGTTAGGGCGGGCGGCGCGCGAGCGTCTAGGGGCCGTTAGGGCAGATCGAAAAAAAACGGAAGTAAGAGGGCCCGGAGCGCGCTCCGGGTAGAAAAAAAAGTTACAAGGTAGCGGAGGTGGGCCCTAAGAACAGTTCCCACAGGGGAACCTGCTTGATACCATGAGAAGAAGTGAACGAGAATGAAATGACTATGAACGAAGTGAGTACAAATACGAAACCCTAATTGGGTTGTACCCCCTATGGGATACCCCACTATAGCCTACACAAATAAGTATGCTATATGTTCTGACATCAACGCCGTCACCATGAAACGGGTTGTCACTGCCGGAGCTAACGTGTACGCAGTGGATATTTCCGTGGTAGAAGGAGCAGAGCAGTCGAGTGATTTCAAGAAACTGCTGGCAGCAGTACCGCTCGAACTACAGGAACTGTTGAAACGATACCCCGGGATTTTTCCCGACGACTTACCGGAAGGACTGCCACCTGAGCGAGCACATGACCACCGAATAGAATTAGAACCGGGGGCACAACCAACAGTACAGCGACAGTTCAGACTGACACAGCCCGAGCTCGACGAACTGAGGATACAGTTAGATCACTTATTAAAGAAGAAATTCATCCGACCGAGCTCGTCACCGTTCGCTGCACCGATACTGTTCACGCCTAAAAAAGACGGAGGGTTTCGCATGTGCATCGATTACCGAGCGCTCAACAGGGTAACAGTCAAGTCACGGTACCCCATTCCCCGCGCCGATGAACTGATCGACCAACTGCGAACAGCACGGGTTTTTTCGAAAAAAGATTTACGGGGAGGTTACCATCAGATTAGGGTCGAACCATCGGACTGCGCCAAAACAGCTTTCCAGACTAGGTACGGGTCATTCGAGTACACCGTGATGCCTTTCGGGCTGA